CAGGTAATTCACCGAGCATCGAAGATTGGTAAAAGAGAAGGTTAATTATAAGGGCTTCTTGCGTAGGTGTGGCAGGCAAAAAGAGATGTCACTTTGCCAGAGCCACAGTAACAACACGAAGTTGGTGCGGTGGCGCATTCTGATTAGTTTCTCCCAGACGACGTTCGAGACGTCCCGAGCAGACAATTAATCCATATGTATGAAGAACATTAGGAAATGCAAATTATATAGTTTTACAAACGTGATTAATATGGATATAAACAGTAAATAACTATAAGAAATAGTAATTAAGCAACAAATTGAATATTTCAGCAGTAAAGACTACTGAGATTTGATTTCAGCAACAATCATATTACAAATGTTTTCATTATTTATTTTTATTTGATTTTGTCTAAAAACAATTTCTACTATGACCTCTCATGTCCTCTGGCTTGTGGTTGGCCACAGAAATCAAAGTTGCATAATATATGAAGAACATGAAATTGAGATATATGACTACAAACAATTTATTATTTATATAATATATTCTTAAAGTAATTTTGTACTAAAAAAATTGCTTTAAGAAGCCAGTAAGAAAGCCGTCCCAAATTGAAACCTTGCGTACATCAAACGATGAAACTCATTTTGCATGAAAAAACTTAAACCAACTAATTAAAGCAGAACCACTAATCTTTAAAATTGGAGAGAGAAAGAGAGAAGAAAGTTGGTGACCTTAAGAGTGAAGTTGGAAGCAATCTTCTTGCAATTTTTAGCATCTATTTCATCATTGAAATATTATAGCAAGATAGGGCTGCAAACAAATAAGTTGCCGTAGCCGAGTTTGAGTGTTCATGTTTTGTGTTCATGATTAATACAATGTTGTTCAGCGTTTGGTCATCTGTTGTTTTTGAGCTATTATTGTTGTGTTTGTGTTCATATTTGGTTCATTTAAATTAATGAGTGCTCATGTTCGGTTCATGTTCAGTTCATGTTCGTTTGTTTAGTGCTTATCGAGCTTTAAACAAACAAATATGAACGAGTTATAAACGAGCTCTACTTTTAGATGTTCATTAACTTAAAAAACGAGCTTTATCAAGCTTCCTAACAAATGATTACATCGAGCATGTTTGCGAACTTAATGTCGAGCTTTATTTATATTATTTACATTTATTAATTCTATAATCAAATATTAATTATTTTTATCAAGCTTATTCACAAGTTCAAAATAGAAAACGAATTGAGCTTCTTATCGAGCTTAATGTCGAGCTTGTTCACGAACTTCAAATGATGTTGTTCGCGAACATAAATGAGTCAAACGCATTAGTGTTCAAGCTTGTTTATTTTAGAATCGAGTATTTAAAATATTGTTCAAGTTTGTTTGTTTAGTTAATTAAACGATCACGAACGAACTTTAATCAAACCGAACAACGAGTAGCTCGTCAAACAAGCTCGTGAATAAGCTCGTGAACAAGCTCGATAAGAAGCTCGATATAAGCTCGACTCATGTTTGATTTAGAACTCGTGAATAAACTTGATAAATATATTCATATAGATTAATAATATTTTCATTTTAAATAGACAATTGATTTTATTTTAAATTTAATTTGATTTTATTTTATACATTCAATAGAATGAATTTGTTCATGAACAATAGACATTTCACATTTGTCAATGTTTGCTAGATTATTTGTTTAAGATGTTAATGAACAAATATAAGATGAATCATATAGATCATTTGTTCATGAACGAGGCCATTTGGTAGCTCGAAAATACTAGTTATGTATATATTCATAATCCTGCTCATTTGATAGCTCAAGAATACTCATTAGATTTGTTCATGAACGTACTTGTTTGATAGTGTAAAATTTTTTCTAAATATGTTCACGAATATAGCTCGTTAAGGCTTGTTTGTTTAAACCTCGATAAGCACTAAATGAACCGAACATGAACACTATTAATTTAAACGAACCAAACATGAACACAAACAATAAAGCTTGAATCAAACACGAACCGAAGTTGAACAAGCTAATAATAAACGAACTCAAACATGAACACTCGCATATTCGGCTCGGGTCGATTTGTTTGCAGCCCTAAGGAAACATGCACTACAACTTGGAGATGGTCAGCAGCCATCAAATAAAGATATAAGATTTAGAAAATGGGATATACCATGATGTGCAATGAATGTTTGAGCAAATTCATGAGCATGTTTATATGTGAAAGAACTAAGATCATGCAAAACTATATTGTTGCAATCATAAAATGATTTAAAAAAAAAAATTGTGTAAAATGGTAAATTAATTAAGACAGAGTTGAGAACTAGAACTTTTAATTTCTAATTTAGGTGGAAATGAGAAATCAATTTAATAACTTCGAAATTAAATAATCTTAAGCATAATATATATTCATTAAGCTCTATTCGTTAGCTCATCGAATTTAAGATGTGAGCCCCTTATTGAGTTGAGAGAAAGCTAGTTCATGAAATAGCTTGTCTTAGTTGCACCCAAATTATTTTAAATGACTTTTATTTATTTTAAATTATCATCTATCTTAAGGTTATTGTCACCTTAACCAAAATTTTATAAAATTTACCTTTTATGTCTACATGATATCCTCTTAAAGTATAATATGTATGAGGAATTTCTCCATTTTAACAACGCAACTAAAAGTTATATTCTCATCAATATTTTTATTATTTATATAATAGATCTAAGATACTTAAAATCTATACACTTAAATATTACTTTATGATCTAATAACATTAATTAATAATTATTAATATTCTATACACTTAAGCTATATATCATATACGGGTGTAAGTGAGCCGAGCTGGCAGCTCGAACTCAACCCGGTAAGGAGCTCGTGAGCCGAGCTCATCGAGCTACAATCTCGATCTCATTTGTTAAACGAGCTCAAGTTCTAGCTAGATGAGGCTAGACTCTTGAGCAGGCTCTAATGACTATTAGGATTTTTAAAATATATTTATTTTTATTGAATTTGAATATTTTAAAAAAATTATCGTTAAAGCTGCAACATAATAAATACTAGCTGGAAAAGAAAAAAAAAGCTGCAGACATTCAGTTCCAATTAATTAATGCTAAGGTCTGGGAAAAAATGCAAGCATTCTTCCCGATTCTATCGCATCAACAGCAACATAGTCGTCTTCTTCTTCTTCCCCTTCCTATTACCGGCGTTTCAGACGAAATCGAGCTTGAATCAAGTAATCGAGCCAAGCTCAAGTTTGAATTTCATACAGCAAGTTGAGTTTGAGCTCATTAAACGAGCTCGACTTCAAACTCATTATGAGGTAATTAAACGAGCTCGACTTCAAGCTCATTTTATACAGTTTGTATATCCATGATCAAGTTAAAAGATGTCGACTCATAGTCAATCATTAATACAATCCCATTATAATTGAAAATTCTTTGGTCACTCCACAAACATTTAAATACTACTTAGCAATCCATCATATATATCTTGAATAACTTTAATACAACTATCATAAACATCTATCTTTCTTGTTTCGAATTAAATCAATTATCATAGCACTCATCATATTCCTTCATACAATCAATAAAAACAATGTCAAGATATTTTCTTTACTCAATAGTTGTTCATACCTTCATTAACACAAAAATCCCTTCTAGTATAGATCTTCCTAGCATGAAACTAGAACCCTAAATTCTAAACAACAACAACAAAAATTTAAAGCCTATGTTTCATTACTCTCTCTCATAATTTCATTATATAACTAATAAGTTGGACATCTCTATAATTAGTAAAATCTGAAAATAAAACAAATACAAATAAAAACAACAACAACAACAACATCAAGCCTTTATCCCACTACGTGGGGTCAGCTACATGAATCCTTTTTCTCCATTGTGTCTTATTAAAGGTCAAATTCTCGTTTAAATCTAATAAAGAAATGTCATTCCTAATATTTTCTAATCAAGTCTTTTTTAGGTCTGCCTCTACCTTTCTTAACATAAGTCAAACCTAATACCTCTACTCTCCTAACCGGGTCATTGGAAGGCCGCCGTTTTATGTGACCAAACCATCTAAGGCGACCCTCTCTAATCTTATCTTCTACTGGAGCTACTCCAACCTTTTCACGTATATGCTCATTTCGTATCCTATCTCTAAGGGTAAAGCCACTCATCCACCTGAGCATCCTCATCTCTGCCACACTTAACTGTGAAATAATATTAAACCTGATAAAAAAAAAAAAGAGTGCCTAGGACGCTTTACTAAATTACAAGTTTAAAGAAGAAAACTATAGGTGAAATAATATTAAACCTGATATATGTACAACAGGAAAGCATGGACTGCTTCCATCCATGCTAGCTGAATATAGTAGAAAAATGTCCAGGCTAATCCTCATCAAAGTACTTCTCCTCAGCATCGTGGTTGGCTTCCTTAATCCAATGATCATCAAGCCCCTCATCATTATCAATAGCAGAATAATCTAAATGTTCAGTATCCTCTCCTGCAAGAAATTTCTGCTGCATTACGCATGTGAACTGGTCCATTTGATCCTGCATCTCCTCTGTAGATAATACATTTGTTGGGGTTTCTGCTGGCTCTTGATCATTAGCATTTGTGTCATCCTCTGGGGCCTGCAATTTAAAGGAGTCCCGAATAATGTGTGATGCAGTACTACGAATAAAAGACATTATTAGACATGATGGTTCAAGGTTGGAAACATAAGCTAAGCATGCAAGTTTTAAGCTTTCGAAATCTTAGAGACATATTAGGTTGCAGAATTAAGTGATGAATTTAATGCTTGCAAAATGAGATTATGAATACAAGGTAATATATATCAAGTATATGTTACTAATGTTAAGACAACATCTTCTTTCTTTATGACATACATACATCTCTAAATAAACATTCTCATTCGTTTTACTAGTCACAATGAAGATCAGAGGGTACAAACAGAAGAAATAGATTTAAAGTGACAAAACAAGACAGAAGAAAAGGTAAACCATTACAAATATCACTCCAATACAAGCAAAAAGACTAGGATAAACCAAATTAAGAGCACGTGACGACACTCAACAGCCAACAACAGCGACAGAAGAAAAATTTATAATGAAAACTGCCGAGAAAATTTAAAATGAAAACTGCCGTGCCTGGGCAACCAATCACAATTATGATGACAAATTAACTCATTTTTGCAGAATCCAAAAATCGAGAGTGAACAGTAAGATAGAAATAATAAAATGAAGCTCCAATTTAACTAAAAAATTGTAAGCAGTGGAGTGAGAAGAAATAAAAAATTACAAAATGCAAAAAAATATACTTTTAAAGATCGGAAAGAAATAAGGACTACTGATTTACAAAAAGAAGCTAAAGCCATGAAAATAAAATAGCAAGGAAAACAAAAGATATAAGTTTTAATGATTCATATAAAACTTTGGCAACAATAATAAAGGATATATATATATATATATGGAAAGAAATAAAAAATTTAGAAAGATCAATTAAATTAAATATGAAGAAAGTGATGACAATATGATATTAATTGAGAATGAAAACATCACATGAAAATGGTTATCTTACCATCAGATATTATTAGACAAAAAGAGTAAGAAATATTTATAAAAGATCATAATAAGTTGTATGGAAGAGCCTAATTAATAAAATCACGAGTACAACATAAAAATGATCCAAAAAAGCAAACGTTGGGTTTGCCCTAAAGAAGCTATATAAAAATGATGCTTTAAGTTTAGATGAGATTTCTATTATGATTCAAAGTTATGAAAGATATTTGAAAATTTTGGTTAACAAATTTTTAATTGAATCAAAAAATACTAATAAATCTCAAATAATTGAAAAAAACATTTATTTTAGTTAAAGTACATCAGAACAAAGAAGAAGTACATAATGGTGATCATATAAGAGAATTAAATTCAAGAGTGATATTGAGGATCAAAGAATATAGGCTTAGAAATGATATATTGGCAACAATCATGGCTTAAAAGGCGATCAAGGCATGCGCCTTGAGGCGCGCATCGATTCAAGGCACAGGATGGGAACCTTGAGACTTAAGCCCCATCAATTTTGGTGAGGCTTACGCTTTTTTCAAATGAAACATACACCTCGAGATGCCTTTTTTTTAATATACACCTCGAGGTGCCTCCTCAAACACTTGAGTATAATTTAAGTTTTATTTTTACATATTATCCTACCTTCCCCACCCACACGCATGCGACGAACACTTAAGGTCTTAAGATAGAGAGATTGTGCTAGACTTCTTTGTTGATTCTTAGCAATGTCTCCACATCGAGTTCGTCTACAACATGCAAGCAGCAGTGCAACACCTCAACATCGAGCCCATCTCCAACAAATGAGTACCCAAGGTTACTTCGTTACAACTTCAACTTTGTGTGAAGTAAAGTTTTCAAAGAGTCTCTCAAGGAAGCTTCTTTGTCTCCTTCGACAACAACGTTCCTATCGGATCTGAAGTCACGATAAGAGTTTGGAGCGAAGGTAACGATCTTTCTTCCCTTTCGCACGATTCTTCAGCCAAATTTTGTTAAAGCAAAATGGAGAATGAATACAAATTAAGTTTCTGTGGTATTTAAAGTTGTCATTTTTGCTCTTCGGTAGGATTTAGGCTAAATCGTGCTTAAATCCTACTAAAAAATCGAAGGAATAATAGGATAAATTTATGTAGGATTTATAGTCGTCATTTTTGTTGTTTTGTAGGATTTCATTTAAATCATGCTCAAGTCTTGCTCAAATCCACCAACGAAATAATAGAACTTAAATTTTTATAGGATTTAAAGTTGCCATTTTTATTGTTTGGTAGAATCTAGGCTAAATTATGCTTAAATCATGCTCAAATCCATTGAAGAAGGAACTAGATTTAATTTTATTCAGGATTTAAAATTATCATTTTTACTTTTTGGCTGGATTAAAGCTAAAGCTAAATCATGCTTAAATCCTGCTTACCTGATAAGAAAGTTGTGATTTGATAATTAAAATCTAATATGTACAGAATCTACCATCATGGCATAATGTGATAGAAAGTTAGAGATTTGAGAAAATCTCATTTTTATATGGAGAATTACTTTGCATTCATTGTGCATGATATCATTATTATTTCCTGAAATTTGTACCCTTTGCTGCTCTTCACTCTTGAAGTGCTTGAATCTGTTAGGCCCAACGTGAATTCTCCAAATCTAGTACAAACTCACTAGATCCAACACGAACTTACAAGGTTTAGCACAAACTTGCCAAGTTCACTACTATCTTGTCATGTTCAACATGAATTTCGAGGGATTCACATTGAACTCACCTTAAGGTTCAAATAAGCCTATTCGCTCATGCTCAAAAACTACTCACTGGCATTTGTTTAAGCTAGTCGATGACTTCAACTATTAGTGGTTTCAACTTTCAACCAAACATCAACTTGTGAATTTTATGTAATTTAGACAGCACGCCTCATATATTTTATAACAAGCAATTGTTAAAGACTGACTATGCATTTTCTTATTTTGTATAGCCTAAATATAACATTTCATGTAGTGATCAAACCTAGCTTGAGCCTATAAATAGGAGGTCAGGGGAAAGCCAGATACATAGTAAATTGAATTCAAGTTTATATTTTCCCCTATCTAGTGAAATCCTAGAATTTGTCACTATAGATGTTATTTCTCTCTACTTTTTTGTTCTATTTGGATGCAACATCTTTAAGGTGTGGTGAGTGTGAACTTATCCTAAGATCCATAATTCAAGCACTTTAAGGAGCAAAGCAACAAAACAGAGAGGATTCAATAAATATTAGAAAATTAATACTTTGTCACCAAAAAAGAAACAAAAAAAAAGGTGAAAGAAAGGGTTAAAAAGATGATTGAAGAAGTGCAAAAGCGAATTCCTAGAATTACTCCAATAATAGAAATTCCAGAAGTATCCTCAAACTCGATTATACAAAAACTACCTCAAAGTGTAATAGCATTAACCTCAATTCCATCGATAGATGAGATCTACTATTCAGATAGCTGTGAAACATCTACTCCACCTCGAAGAGATGAGAAGCGATACCTTCAATCAACGAATACATTCTCTAAAGATATAGTCAATATACAACTCCCAGCAAAGTTTAAGATTCTACACTGGGATTCGTTTAAGGGAAAGTCAAATCCGATTGACCACATAGCATACTTTGAGTTGACAACTTTCTTATTAAATATTAACAATGCCATAAAATGTTAGCTAACACCTCTGACATGGTTCTTGAAACTTTTGCAAGAAACTAGAAAGTGTCATAAATTTTGTCACTTTCAAATGATTATATATTACATAATTCACTAGTGAAAAAAAGCCATTAAAGAACACACTAGTTCTCTTGGAGATCAAATATGAACCCGAAGAGCCACTAAGAAAATGTATCACTCATTTCCGGCACAAGATGTTAAATGTTAAATATTTGGAACCTACAATCACTCTAAAAATGTTAACTCAATGACTTAGAGAAGAACCATTCTGATATGTGCTCGGATAGAAGCAGCCAAAGACATTCGTGGAAATATTTAGAACTTATCAACAATCATATAAATGTAGAAGAATGCAATCATGTGGAGACATAAAAAAGCCAGCATTTTAAATATACAAACTCATAACGACAACAATATCAACCAATTAGAAGCCTAGGCTCCTTCAATTTGGCTAAAATTGGAGCCATAACGACCCACTGCGTGATCATTTTGCTGGATTAATTGAACGCAAGTTCACTAACGCATCTACTACCAAAAGACAAGCTACTTGTAGTCATTAGATATCTCACTCATATTTCATTACAAGTATCTATGCCGAGTTAGTGATCACGATTTAAAAAAAAAAAGAGTATCTTCATCAATCGCCTCTATTATAAACTCAACCACATACTCAAAATCCAACAAAGTGCAGCATTTTTCAGAAGGGTTATGGCTAGGACACAGAAGATTATCTAAATCTTCATGGCAAAAAGAAAAGGAGGACAAAGAAAAGAAATAACACATGCATGAGTTACCCAATTAGCAAGAAGTGCATCATAAGTAGAAAATGTTGAAAATGGAAACACTCTACAAAGTTATATTTCATTTGCAATTTTTAGTAGCAAGCACTAAGACACTTTTTTGTATAATTTCTATACAACAACAACAACATCAAGCTTTTATCCCACTACATTAGGTGGGCTACATGAATGCTTTTTCTCCATTGTGTCCTATTGAGAGTCAAATTTTCATTTAAATATACTAAAGAAAAGTTATTTCTAATATTTCTAACAAAGTCTTTTAGGCCTTCCCTTACCTTTCTTAACAAAGGCAACTCTCTTTAATCTTATCTTCCACTAGAGCTACTCCAACCTTTTCATGTATAGGCTCATTTTGTATCTTGTCTCTAAGAGTAAAACCACTCATCCACCTTAGCATCCTCATCTCTGCAACACTTAACTTAATATTATGCTTCTCTTTTAATGGCCAACATTATGCGCCATAAAGCATTGTAGGTCTCACCACCATCTTATAGAATTTTCCCTTAAGTTTGAGGGGAACATTTTTATCACACAACAAGCACAATGCATTCCTCCACTTCAACCATCCAACCTGAATTCTACTAATAATACCCTCATCTATTTCACCATCACTCTGAACAATAGACCCAAGATATCTAAAAAGTGTACTCTTATTATAGACTTGATCGCCCAAAGTCACAATCCCCCCCCCACTAGATCTATTACTACTTAAATTACACTCCATATATTTTGTTTTAGATCTACTCAAACGAAAACTTTTAGACTCTAAGGTTGACCTCCATAATTCAAGTTTACCTTCAACTCCCTCTCTAGTCTTATCAACAACAAGAATATCATCAGCAAAAAACATACACCAAAGTACAAACTCTTACAAATGACTAGTGAGAACATCCATGACTAAAGCAAAAAGATATGGGCTTAAGGTTGATCCTTGATGTAATCCAACTGAAATAGGAAAATACTTGATAAAACCACCTTATGTTTGAACACAAGTAACAACTCAGGCATATATATCCTAATGACTTAAATATAAGCATTATTACCACTTTCTTTTCTAGAACTCTCCATTCAATAAATATTATACGTAGATCCTCCTTATTATCTCTATACTTCTATCGAACCTCTCAATAAATGTATCACGCCAACATAAATCCAAATTGATTTTGAAAAACATTAGTATCACGCCGTAGCCTTTGCTCCATAACTCTCTCCCATAGTTTTAAAGTATGACACATTAACTTAATTCCTCTATAATTCGCACAATTTAATGCATCACCTTTATTCTTAAAAATAAGAAACAACACATTCATTTTCCACTCATCTAACATCTTTTTAATCTTCAAAATAATATTAAAAAGTTTAGTAAGCCAAGAAATTCCTTCATCTCCTAAGCATTTCCACACCTCTATTGGAATATCATCGTTACAACGTAAACATGTCTTTTAAAATTGATAATGTTCAAAGAACTCACTAATTTCTCGCTGCATAATTTGTTATAGTGTTCAGCAATTGTTTAATTATACTTGTATTTGATCTTACAAATTTGAATTTGATTGTTGGTCTTAAATTCAGTAGTCAGGTTCAGAAATCATTACTTAGAGAACTGTAAATCAGCATTGATTATGTGATAATTCATCAGGAATTCATCATTCACAAATTGATACTGAACACTCAATAACACCCAAGGAACATGAAATTGACAATAAATTATACTCAAGAAACTCAATATTTAATCATTTGATCCAATATTTCTCATATATTTCATTGAATGATTACATGTGATAAAATTGATTCAAGCATACGATTCACACAATCTGCTTAAATCTAAAAAGCGTCAAGGATAAAAATTTAAGTCCTGGAGCTCAAACTCCCAACTTTGTAACAAAAATCTGCATTGAGTAGCATTAAAGTCTATTCTAATAGATGAATCTAAATGATTATTTCTATGAAGACGAAAGCTCTGGCATAATGAATCCCATCCAAGTTGACGACTTAATAAAAAGATTTACCAGAAATAAGCAAGATAAGTCTTGACCATATATTCTTATCATTTAATACATTAAATATGTTGACAAACTTGAGAATTAGTTATAAATCAAAAGTCAATATAATCGACATTTCAACAAGTAATATGAATTTCATTAAGTTAATCAGTTGGCTATTGAATTCAAAGTAAATTAAAGGGCAAAAATATTAAAAAAAAAACTCATTCAATTAAGAAAAATGTATATATGTATATATTCAAAGTAAAGATTAGAAAAATACAAGTCAAGAATCACTCTTTGGGGATTGTTTACTATCTACTCTATCAAAATCTTCATCTCCTACTTCTTTCTTGTTCAAATAGTTTTTAGTGTTATAATAGAAGCTAACATTCCACCACGCATAGTTAATTGCACTCTAATCTAGTAATACATCCAAACAAAATGTGATCACTTTTTGGTACTTATTCATGACATCTTCTTTGTACTCGGTAAAACTGACAAATTTGCTAATATCAATTATTTTTCGAACTTAGAAAGATTTTCCAGCACGTCTAGCTCCAACTTCTTTAACATCTCTTCCAGCTTAGTAGTCTGAGTTCAAAACAATGACTAAGCAAATTATTTCGTTGATAACAATGACATGCTTTTCTTTCTAAAGGCAGTCTTGCACAGAAGATTATCCTTGTATATCTCAAAATGTCCGCATAGCAATGATGTGGTGAAACTAAAAGTCAAAGAGTTATATGATCTGCAATTCTGCATCTAGAATGACAATGCCACAATTAAAGGATTAGAGAAGGCTTAGTTTTGTCTTATCTACCATGAAAATAATAAATAAATCAATGATAACTGGGAGTCTGGGACAAAAAGATAAGTAGTCAATAAATGATTATACTGCGGAGTTCATAAGAAAACTTTTCATTGGATATCTCTTCCTTAGAGAGATCAACTTTCATGAAATATGCTATGAGGTTGCATGTCAGGATCAATGGAGAATTGAAAATTTTCCCAATGAATTTATCTGTAAAAACTAACTTCAAAATCATTGCAATTGACGGAGAAAATAAGACCAAGCCTGGAATAAAGGAATGTCAAACTAAAAAGATATTGAGTGAAAATATAAAGAGGCCCGAAAAAAAACTTACTAAAATGTTTTACTATTTTCAGTGTAAATGTAAGGGGCACAACAATCAAAATTGCTAGAAGACTTATCCTAAACTTCTCAATAAAAAAATGCAATAATAAGGAAATAGGTGATGACCACCCATGGAGATTTATGGAGTATATCAAATAGACACCAAAAACATTTTGATGAGAAAAAGGCAAATGGAAGAGCAAGCCAAAGAGGGCTTGCTCATATTGAAAGTACAGGTCAAGATGACTATAGTTTCAGTCATCTTCGATCCCAAGGGATAGAAGAACTTAGTTGTTAAAGCAATGGTGGGGTGCTTACGCACATGCGTAGACACGCAAATATATATGTGTGTGCGTGTGTTGGTGCGCGCATACATGTATGTATGTATGTATGTGCGGGCGCGCAATTATTGAGATGGTGGAGTCTAAGGTGACACAATAGTGTACCTTCACATTTGCAATTACATATCATCTCATTAATGAGATCACTTGTGGGAATGTTCATTTAGATGTATGGCACATTAATTTTGGGAATTCTTGCTAATGGGAAAGTGATGCTATTTATTAAAAGCCATTTCAAAAGTAAAGCCTTGTCAAGGATATCAAGACTTCAATGTTCAGAAAAGCTTTTCCCCTTCATCTTTGCAAATAGATCATGTGCCCATTGGAAAGGCCACGTGAGGTTGCATGCTAGTCTAAGCTTTGTACTACTACTCTTATGATAGAAGATAGTAGAGCCATATTGTTCTCAATAAATTTTTGCTACGTCAAGAGATCACCATGCTTCTTACAACGATTCTCAAACAAGTTCAACGAAGAGAAAGACTGCCACCTAAGAGACCAATGAAGCATATCTATCCATTAGTGGAAGGACCTTTATTTCGAGGGCCACCGTTCATAAAAATACTTTTGACAAAGATATTCTGTAATTCAATTATGTCAATTTCTCCACAATGATAGTGAAAAAGGATTGTTCAAACTTATGAAAACTGTTTTTTTTTTCTCACCTGAATGGTAGAAATTGTCTATTTTGACCGAATCTTGAAAACTGCATTATAATTGTTACTCACGCTTAGTTTGGGATGGCTTTCTTATTGTTTCATAAAGCAGCTTTTTAATTCAAAATTAGATTTTTTATACTAAAAAGCTGCTTTTTAATTCAAAAATTATATTTTTTATACTAAAAAGCTTCTTCAAGAAAGTCATCCCAAACGAAGCCTCAGTGCTTATAAAGTCAGCTAAAGTTTTTGGTTAGAGAAAGTGAGTGATCTCCTAACCCATAAGAAATGATAGGGGAGGCAGTGTGAGGTATCTTTTACTCTTGTAGAAACGTTTGTCTTCTTATCATATTTCTGGATAACGAAGAACATATAAACTATCCTGAATTGTAATTCAATTAATCAAGTTGTAGGTCTAATGTACCTTTGATGAGCTCAAAACTATATTCATCTCATCCCTTTCCTCCTCACTCTCATCATCTTCGCTCGCCTCCTCTTCCTCCTCCCCGCCTTCGTCACCTCCAACCCAATCCTTCCTCGCCACCCCCAACCTCTGCTGCTCACCTCTAATCTTCTTCACCAGCATCGCCTCCTCGCACCGGCGCATGAGAGTTTCCGACCACTTCTCCCCCGGCCGGGACGAGACCCTCCCAACCGGATCCTGGAACCTACCCACGTATTCGTGGTGAAGGTACGGCTCCCTCTCTCTCATAGAATCCTCGGAGAAGTACTCTCCCCCACGGATTAATCTTTCCATGTAAGCCCGCCGGCGGTTCCTCACAGTCGCCGACTTTGCCCGCGAGTCAGACTCCGTCGGAACCAGGCTCCGACGAAGGCGATCGACGTGCCAACCTACCTCGTAGTCTGAACGCAGCACGTCGAAAACACCGAGTTCATTGGCTGTAAGCTCGCCGCCGTAGCGCTCGAGGAATATGGGGGCGTCGCGGGATATAAGATCAAAGAGCGCCGCCTTGCGCTGGGAGGCGTCAAGGGGTGGGCTGACAATGCCGCCGGGAAAATAGAGGCCGTCCATTGTAGCCAGCCGCTCAGCGATGCCCTCCATGGCAGACCTCTCCATCGCGCTCGTAAGAGCCAGTGCTCTCCTCCAGGTCCCTCTGAGGAGAGAAGTGCGAAACCTCGACCTAATTAGCTATCGAGCTCGGTCCGGGCGGCTTAATTGAACTACGAATAATCTGAGCACCACCGGTGAACCGGTGACCATTAAGAATTATAAGCCTTCCACAAGAAAAGCTATTTTGTGCGGATGCTGGATACAACTCTACGATCCGATGCCATAGTACCGAGCTATTGTACAGTAAAAGGGTGACTTAATGTATTTTTATTGGTTTTCGGATGGATCACAGAATTATTTTTCCTTCCACAGAATAATGGTTCCTTATACCATTAAGAATTATAAGCCTTCCATTTTTTCATATCTACTTCTCATAATTAATTTGTTAATGAATTTCTTTTTCTTTTCTTGGTTTTATATCATAAGATTGTATATGGATAATATAATTTATAGTTGCTTATAGAGCATCTCATATGTTAGGTTATGTCAATTATCTTTATAGTGAAGTGATTTCAAACTTGATACCATCGGATTAAATACTTTACTATGAAGTTCGATCCATAAAATCATTACTATATTATTTCTACATTTTTTTTGGATTAAATACTCATACTCATCATCATGTTGAGTTTTTTTATGTTCTTTTTCACTCTCTGATGATTTAAAGATTATTATTGTTCATATTTTATATATATAGTGTCACGATTCGGCCCGGTGAGCTCACATAGGCGAGGTGGGAACATAGGTCGGACGATAGACTAAACTATCACATTTCTAAATCAATCTCCAATATTTAAAAGAGCCACTAAAACAATAAAATTTAAAAACACATAAACATAAAATCATTAATATTCATAAAGTTACATTTCTTCATGCGCTCCTCTCCTACGGTATACATTCCCCCCCCCCCCCCCGGATACACTCCCCCCCCCCCCCCCCCTTCTACTCATTTGATTAACTTAAACTTACCAGAAAAATGTTAACAACTAACAATAAACCAAAGCTCAGTAAGTAAAACACGATTTTAAACTACAGTATCAAGGCAAAATGAACAATATGCTAAATGTCAATTTCATTTAAAACATAACATTAACATAAACATAAATCATATATTCATATCATTTCATAATTCATTTTCATGTCCATATCATTATTCATAATTTTCTCTTTTCGTATATATTACAACTGTCACATGAGACACTGTCTAGTACCATAAAGGTACTCCTTTACCAATTTCTTTTCCATATCATTTACTATTTTAACGTGCACGAGTACAGCGTCCCCAGCTGGTACCATAAGGGGGTGAGCTCCGTCTATTCAGCATGCACATACAATAACTCAATATAACAATCATATCATCTTATATATCAATAATATTAAGCCTTATCATATACCTTATATAGTAATATGATGAATAAATTAATATGCAAGATAAGAAACATAAAATTAATTGAAATGCAGTATAATGAACCAATTTGCAATAATAATTTAATAAAAATTGAAATGATGCACTTATCATAACAAAGAAAACATGTTTACTCACCTGAATGTTTCCAAGCTTTAATATTTTTACAAACCTCAAGCTTCATTATATATCTCAATACTCATCTCAGCTTAATTATCAGAAATCTTCAATGGTTCAAATAACATTAATAAGATCTTAAACCTTCAACTTAGAGTTCTTAATTCTAAAACAATATCAATTGTTCCTATTCTTTTTATTATGTTCTAATCTACTCACAATATTTTTAAAGGTTCTCTTTCTCCCTCTCTCTCTCTCTCTCTAATTTAAGACATAAAGCATATAAAAATTCTAAAATCTCATATTTTATTATAATTACATAATTTAACCAAATTAATCCTTTACCCTAATCCTAATTTAATTTAAATTATTTTTTTTTTTATTTTCAGATTTATTTTAATTAAAAATTAGAAAAAATAATATTTCATGAAAATTCATAATTTCGACTCTTAAAAACTTCCTTAAGACCCGTAAAAATATTATGCATTAAGAAATTTTCATAGAAATAAAAAATTTACAAAATCCTAATTTTCCAAATCTCAAAAGTTTTGAAGAAAAGCCTCATTTTTTTTGCATAAAATTATCTTATAACTCTATAATATCATTCCCTTAAAGAAAATCAATGTTTCCCCTCAAATCCTAGATTTTTCCTTAAAGAAAATTATACAAAAACTTGAGAAATCACTAGAATGTAACTCACCTTAGCCTTCTCTACGATTTCCCTTCGATCTCCTTCATAAACGTTCACCGGAATCCACCCCTAGGGTCACCATCCTAGCCTTTCCGGGGCGCACCGTCCTAGCCTTTCCGTCGCCCCTTCCGCGCGCTTCTCCTTGCTTCTGTTCGGTTCGACTGAACGAGTGAATGAGGGTCCGAATGAATTCCGTCCCTTTAATTCCCTTAGATGGCCAAAAGACTATTCTACCCTCACTTAAACAATCCATGCTTTAATAATCTCTAAGCATATTAATCGTATTATTAGACTTTAGAATATTTTCTCTCTCAAATTAAGAGAAATTAAATATAATTTTGATATATCAATTCACTCCAAATTTTGTGTAGAATTTTCTAATATTATTTTCGTTAAATTCCGACAACTTTAAAAAATTTACTTAAAACTCGTCGCGACGCATCGAAAAGCGTGCGAGATCTAAAATGACATTTTTATGGTTTTACATATAGAGACAATAATCTCACTTGATAGTGATGATTTATCCTCTATCATGTGGATTTATTTGATTTAAAGCCTATAATTATCTACTTAAATAGTAGTCTTTGAATTATATGCAACCTTTGTGTTAATTTGAGTCAACTAAAAATAGCATATTTTGTTTATCAAGTGTGACATTAAAAGTACAATCGCTTCTAATTAATGTTAGAAAATATTTCTCTTTGGGAGACCAATCAACCCTGATTCTGCCCTAATTGATTTTTTTTAAGTGATATCACTAATCGTGAGAATTTTATATAGGTTGAGATAAGATTTATTGGTCCTACCAAAATATGACTTTACCCTTATCTCTTATTAATGAAATTTTCCATACTTGAAGAACATTCTCGTATCATCAAATTCACATCCCCCCTTACATATTTGAACAATAATCGAATAATATTCAAATATAGTTACAAATTTGCTAAAATATCGTATGAACTTTATTACATCCATATGATTGAACCTTGTTCAATTATTTTTTGAATATTGATCAAATCATGTTTTAGCCATGATCAAACCTTATTTGAACCTCATTCCAACTATGTTCAAGTCTTGATCGAAGCCAATTCAAACTTTATTTCAACATTGTTCAAGAAAATTTAAAATATATCTGAATATTATTTGAAACTTGTTCTAACTACATTCAAATATTGGTAAATTCTTTGTCCATTCATATTTGAATTATCTTCAAATTTTATTTTAAGTATGTTGAATTCTTATAAAACTTTACTTGAATTATTTTTGAATTTTATTTGAATGATTATTTATATCATTTTTGAACTATGTGAAATTTGAAGATTAAAATTTTTGATTGGATATAAAAGATGTATGGAGTTTTGATGTGTTTAGTTATAATTTTTTTGTTAACTAAAATTTAATGTATTATTTAAATAAATATTTAACTTTAATATTAAATACATTAATAAAAAAATTCGAGTTTTATATAAATCCACCGTTTATATATATATATATACCGAACCGAATAACCACTTGAACCTCACCTCTCCTTCACCCGGTTCGATAAATTCACGGCCTAAGGAGAGGGCAGCTCCCGCTCCCGCTCCCGCTACCCCTCCCGTTCTTAGTACGTCGCCGCCGAGTCGGTTTCGCCGGCCGCTGGACTTACAGCTAGAAATCAGGTCTCGCTTCTCACCTTCTGCGCCATTCAATTTTTATTTTAGGCCTGATTTTTTTCCCAATTAATCTAAAAACCCTAATCTATTAGTATCTCCTATGTAGATTACCTTCTCCGTCTTCTCAGATTTGCTTTTGCGCTATGCAATTCATTGATGAAACTTGTCATGCAAAATAGAAAACTCTCAATGCCGCTGGATACGCGCTTTTTTTGTTAGCGGCTAGTTCTTTATTTGTTGTAATAAGGTTTCCAGGCATGGTGGGATCTCAGCGCCGGCCACGAGATTCCAACCCGGAGGTTCCTTCAGTTATGTTCTTTGAGCAAATCAACGCGGAAACTTCAATTGCTAAAACTGTCGAGGCAATAAAGCCGCTTTGTTCTGTTGTCAGCGAGGAAGCTACGATCGTCAATCACTATTCATTAAGATCGGCTTCCACAAATACCAGATTGGATATTTCTGGTGGGGATTTGGATAACGGGAATAATGATAATGGTTGTAGTCTTGATTACTATCCGAGGAAGCCTCAAACAAGGTCAGTTTCAAAAGATGAATCCTTACAGGTTCTGACTAAGGCTAATGACTCTTCAATCACGAATGAACGGAGTAAAACCCCAGCGCCACCTGCTAATAAACCAGTCAAAGTTGATATATCGTCCAATATCAGTATGCAGGGGAAAAAGATTCGAGAAATTGATGACCGGATTGAATTGGTGGAGTCTATTCATAATCCTAAGCTAGAGGAGCCTGTGCTTTCTACAAAATATTCTTCGCGGAGAAGGATATCATTTCGATCTATGACTTCTAGCTGTGGAAAGAAAGAAATACCCGATGATGGTTTGAATGAAACTCAGACCAGAAGGCTGGATGGTGAAGAATCTGTAAGGAATGGGAAAAGGAGTAGGAAAGAAGTTGAAATTAAAATTGAGTCCACTGGTGAAAACAAGAAAGGTAATTTATGTAAAGTGGAAAATCTAGCTATAGTTGGGAGTGATTTAAATGGTGAGGATGATGTTTCTCGGAAAAAGGCCAAGTGGACTCTCCAAACATTCCATTCAATTTATAACAGGTTGTCGCAAGATACAGAAAGTGACTTAAAATCAAAGTTTGATTTTCGTAGGAACCGCCTAGATTTGATGGCTTTAAAAATGATGAAGGAGAGCAGCCTGGAGCTAAAAACCGATTCATTATCCATAGGAAGTGTGCCTGGTGTTGAAATCGGAGATGAATTCAATCTAAGGGTTGAACTCTGTGTGCTTGGCCTTCATCGCCAACTCCAAGGCGGTATCGATTTTTTTAAACAAGATGGAAGACTACTAGCTCGCAGTATTATTTCATCTGGCTCTAGTAGATACTCTGACAATGGCCACGTCTCTGAAGTTTTGATTTATTCTGGTTCAGGTGTATCCAACAGGAATCAAAAGCTAGAATATGGTAATTTAGCTCTAAAAAACAGCATAGACGCTCAAAATCCTATTCGTGTTATTTGGGGCGTTGAGGACATTCAAATTAATAATTCTCGAAGTTACAGGGGTAGAAAAGCTACCAGGTATATCTATGATGGTCTGTACCTGGCTGAGAAATACTGGATGGAAAAAAATGATGATGGTTGTGATATCTTTATGTTTCAGTTGAGGAGGAAGAAGAAACAGCCTGAACTCAAAATTAAAAATGTTAAGTTGAGAACATCTATTTCATTTTCTGATATCTGCATCGAAGATATCTCCAACGGAAAGGAGAAGATACCCATTTGCGCTGTCAATACCATTGATAAAGAGTCTCCTCAGCCTTTTACGTATACCAAGGAGATGATATATCCATCAAACCATATCCCAATTAGTCCCAAAGGTTGCGACTGTGTCGGTATTTGCACTGATTCCATCAAATGTGCCTGCGCAGTTAAAAATGGTGGGGAACTTCCTTTCAATAGCCGCGGTGCTATTGTGCAGGCCAAACCTCTTGTGTATGAGTGTGGACCTTCTTGCAAATGCCCTCCTTCGTGCCACAACAGGGTTAGTCAACATGGCATAAAGTTTCCATTGGAAGTCTTTAAAACAGGAACTATGGGCTGGGGACTGAGATCCTTATCTCTCATTCCATCTGGTAGCTTTGTTTGTGAATATGTAGGTGAGCTTATACAGGATGAAGAAGCTCAAAGGAGAACCAATGATGAGTATCTGTTCGCCATTGGAAATAATTACCATGATGTAGCTCTCTGGGAGGGACTTCCAACTTCTATACCTGAATTGCAGAAGAAAGGTTCTTCACTAGGTGATGAAACTAACTATACTGTTGATGCTTCCATGTTTGGAAATGTTGCTAGGTTTATCAACCACAGCTGTATGCCTAATCTTTATGCTCAAAATCTTCTCTTTGATCATGGAAATACGAGCATGCCACATATCATGCTATTTGCTTCTGAAGATATACCACCTCTGCAGGAGCTGACATACCACTACAACTACACCATTGACCAAGTTCATGATTCTAATGGGAATATCAAGCAAAAGGTTTGCTACTGTGGCACCGTTGAATGCACTGGTAGGCTCTATTGAGTTTTTTATTTTTTATTTTTTTTTCTGGTTCTTGAAACATTAATGAAGTTAATTAGTTGGAATTTTGTGTTTTCCAATGACCAATCAACTGTTCTTGATGGAGTTCTTTTTAGAGGCAGCCAGTTTATGCTTTTTATGTTTACTTGGCTTAGTTCTCTTAAATAAGTACTTTTTTTTTCTTCAAGTAAAATTTTTATTGATTTCAATAAATTGTTATGAGTGTGCATATGCTCAGTGAAAGAGAACCAATCCTTTCTATGCGAGACGGATTTCTATATTTGAAGTTCATGATATATTAGTTTGCAATTATTTGATTGATTCTCTTGTTGCTTTTATATTGTAATATGTGGACCTTTGCTTTGTCTTTGGCCATTGACCTCTTTTGGAATTTTTTTTGTTCCTTCTTTTGTAATTTGTTTTGCTTTATTTTCATTGTAAGACTTTTTGAGAAGCTATATATACTTTCACATTTTGTACAAAATAAAATCATAAAATTTGAAGTGGTTTTTTATACTTTTCTATTTTTTAACTTTTTATTAGAATGAGATTAGGATTTCCATCTTCTTCTTTTTAATTTCTCCCTCGTTGTCGGTATTTATCTTGACTTTCCTTCCAAGAAGTAGACCACAATGAATGATGAAAATTAGATTAATGAATAACTTTAAGGGCAACAAGTTTTATATCATCTAAATAGGAGTCATCTGAAATGATCCCAAATTGTGAGATTTAGGCTTGGTTTTGGACGGCTTTTTTATTACTTCTTAAAATAGCTTTTTAGTTTAAATTAAAATTTTTTTATTAAAAAACTATTTTTGAGAAGCAGTAAGAAAGTCGTCCCAAATGAAGCCTTAATTGTGATCAATTTTATATAATCAAGTGATTAAATTGGGTAAATGTGATGCCCTGAGATTAAAACTTTGTTTGGGAAGGTTTTTGGCAGCTATTTTTTCACAGCTTTCAAAAAAATGTTGTAAAAAGCAATAAGGAAAGAGTATTTTATATTTTCCCCCTTATTTTATTTGCTCATCCTCTTTCTAGAGGAAAATTATTAGGTCCGGACACCGGACCTAAAAATAGGTATGGATATCCAATTAAAATTTGCCACGTGGACTGTGCTTTAACTGTGGTTTAACTGTGCTTTGACTGCGCTTTTTGACCGCACTTTGACTGCGCTTTACTTGCACTTTACCTGCACTTTTGGCGCGCTTGATTTAGACACATGTACATTACACATGTCAATATTTTATTGGACACGTATCTACGTCTGGTGTCTGGACCTAATAATTTTCCCTTTCTTGAAGTCTCTTTCTGTATCTAATTTTCTTCTCAAATTGATTTGGATGTTAGCAACTTGGCATATGGAAGTCTGAAGCTGATTTGAATGATAGGACACGTAATTGATATTGAAATAGCTGGCGTGCAATTTTTTGCTGCATAAATTAACTGTATTATTATGACAATTAAATAGTTTTAGTTCCTTTCTTCATCATAATACCTAAAACTAGTCAAGATGATGGTAGAATCTGTTTTATTTTATTTGCTTTCATCTAAGAGAGAGATTTAAGCCTTTCATCTTGAAAATCACAATTTTTTTACTAAGGTTTTATTTGGAACGTCTTTTTTATTGCTTATTAAAGCAGCTTTTTAGCGCAAAGATTTAGGTTTTGTTTGGGATGACTTTCTTAGTACTTCTTAAAGCGGTTTTTTAGTACAAAAATTTAAAAAATTGCTTTAAGAAACAGTCAGAAAGTCTTCCCAAACGAAGACTAAACTTGTCGCATCACTAAACAGTAGATGATTGAATTGCTATGATTAATATTAATTAGCTTGTAAAGGGAGGATAGATGGAGATGTGAGACAATTAAGGTTTCATTTGAGACAGCTTCTTATTTCTTTCTAAAACATCTTTTTAATACAAATTTTTTTTGAACTAGAAAGCTCCTTTAGAAAGCAGCAAGAAAGCTGCCCTAAATGAAGCCTAATGTTTCATTTGGGATAACTTTTTTTTGTGGTTTTCTTTTCTAACCGCAATTATAAATTTTATTTTGCTGACTGTTTTTTTTTTGGTGTTGCTAGACTCCCTAAATAAATTACATGAAAAATCAGTTGAATTTTTTTTTTTTTTTTGGTTTAATAATGGGTTTTATTGGTCAATGATATGACATCAGTTTAAGGTTTTTTTTATTAGAATTTAATTAATACATGGGTGCTCTTATGTGTCAACCTGTTTGAGATAGAAAAATAAATGTACAAAATTTATTTAGGAAGGCTTTTTTATTATTTTTTAAAATAGTTTTTTAGTATTACATTTTTTTGGTTAAAAAATTTTTAAGTAAAAAATTATTTTATAAAATAATAAGAAAATTATTCCAAATAAATGATTGGGAACAATAATAAGGATTGTATGTTTTCTCATAGGTTTCTAAGTTGAAGAGTTAAGTGCATGAGGGGTTTGTGGTGATGGGGACTTGCAATATGTGTGAATATTGTGGCAAAAGTGTAATATTTTTTAAGCAATAGAAATTTATCATATACTTGTTTGGTGGGCCCAAGGCAGGCATAAATCTAATTACAAATATTAAATCTATCTAATTATGAAAAAATTTATTGAAATTATATTGAAATTTGAGACCTTTGAGATGATAGTTATGATGCAAGTAACTTGGTGGATGTCTTAGGTTTCGTTTGGGACGATTTTCTTACTGCTTCTTAAAACAGATTTTTAATATAAATTTTGTACTAAAAAACTGTTTTAAGAAACAGTAAGAAAGTTGCACTAAACAATACCTTAACGTAACGACTCTTATGGTGTAACTGGATTATATGTTTGTTATTAGTAGCGTAAATGAATTCTCAAAGGATATGAATGACCTTTGGAGCTTGGAAAATTCTATGAAAATGAATTCAAGGAAAGGTAATTTATAATTTGCGCAAATGATTTTTAAACTTATATTCATAATATTCCTCACAGTTATCAACAACAAAGAGGGTAAATCATGTCCTCCTACTTTTCAAATTTGAATAAATAATACTATCCTTAGGTTAACTTAACCAACACATTAGGATTAGAGTTAACCCATGAGGTGATTGTATGTGATTTGATGGTGATGATCTAAGTGCGATGGATGCTAATAATGTCTTGGATTGGTCTAAATATATCATATTATAGATTTCAATACTACTATAAGTAGGGCTGCAAGCGAACCAAGCGTTCGACGAGCTACTCGATGCTCGGTTCGATTAAAACTCGTTTGTGATCGTTTAACTAACTAAACAAACAAATTTGAACAACATTTTAAATACTCGACCCTTAAACAAACAAACTTGAACACTAATGTATTCGGTTCATTTATGTTCACAAACAACATAATTTGAAGTTCGTAAACAAGCTCGACATTAAGCTCAATAAAAAGCTAGATAAAAGCTCGAATGGAGAGAAATGCAATAGGTAAGCTTCATTTAAGAATATATTCAAATAGATTAATCATATTTTTATTTTAAATAGATAATTGTTTTTATTATAAATTTAATTTTCTGAACAAAAGACATTTCACATTTGTCTATGTTTGTTAGATTGTTTGTTTAAGATGTTCATGAACAAATTTAATATTTGTTTGTTAAATATGTTCATGAACATAGCTCGTTAAGGCTTGTTTGCTTAAAGCTCGATAAGCATTAAACGAACCAAACATAAACAGAACATGAACCAAACATGAACACCCTTAAATTAAACGAACCAAACATGAATACAAACAATAAAGCTCGAATCAAATATGAACCGAACTTGAACAAGCTAATGATAAACGAACTCAAACATGAACAAGCATACTCGGCATGGCTCGGTTCGTTTGCAGCCCTAACTATAAGCGCCTTAGTGTTAGTGTTGATAGTTGAAACTAAATACTCAAAATAATCCTCCGACTATTAATAAATGACAAATTTAGTCTCAAAGTTTTGCATTACTTAATTTTAGTCCCTCGACGATTAAAAATTGAGCCAATTTGATCTCAAAGCCTAATGAAGGAGTTATTAACTCAAAAAGTTAAATTGGAGGGGTATTTTAGGTATTTTAGGTGTTAGAATTGGATGTTGAGATAAAATTGCTTACTTGGCTGTAATAAAGGGATAAAAGCAATGGAAAAACTGCTTACTTGAGCCATTTATTACACTTTTTAAGTTGTAATAAATGAAAAATAATAAGTATGATAAAACCAATTCTGATATTATATAAGGGCAAATTTTTAAAGTAAGTATGATTAAAAATTTAATTATGTGATTAAGTATCGTAAAAAAAAAAAATTAAAACTAGGTAAAGTCGCCCGTTTGATGAGCGATTTAGTGCTGACTTAGCAATGCGCTTGCCAAGTCATATGGTTGATACTGTAGCGAGTCGCCCATTAAACGGGCGACTTGCTACAGTAACAAATAATAAAAAAATATATTTATTTTTTTAATTAAATTATTTCAAAAAAAACTGCCGGCTTGAAATTTTTTGCTTTATATTATGTAAATTTAAAGGGAAAAAGGGTGTGAAGTAATAATTGCATAAACTAGCATAGCAGTAGAGTTAGCAAATTATATAAAAGTCTATCTTTTTTGCAGTACCGTATATTAATCATTTCGTCTGTGAAATCATCTTTCCGCCTTAGATGGGAACACAATCATCTGTAGAGACATTTAAATTGCTGCAAGATCTCAAATAAAAGAGACGTGAAATGTTAATTATATATATTTTTTTGGGAAAAAAATGTTAATTATATAAACCGCCTCGAAATAAAATGTTAAAATATACATTTATTGTTATGTTACTGTAGCAAGTCGCCCGTTTAATGGGCGACTTGCTACAGTATCAACCGGATGACCTGGCAAGCACATTGCTGAGTCAGCACTAAGTCGCTCGTTAAACGGGCGACTTTGCCTAGTTCTAAATTTGTTTTTTACGATGCTTAATCACATAATTAAATTTTTAATCATACTTACTTTAAAAAATTTCCCCTTATATAATGGGCTTTTTATGAGAAATAATGATTTGAAAATTCAGGATAAAAACAAATTATTTAAGTTTCATATACTTGCTGTAAATTATATTATATGAAAAATACTCTAAAATCACATAGAAAAAATATTCACTAAAAAACCTTTCTTCCCATATGAATTTTTTACTCTTTTGAGCAAGCAACTATTCCATTACTAAATTAAATAGCGGAAAATTGAGGCCAAAGAGAAATTTCAAACCTAGCTT